TGAATAAAAAAAAGTTACATTAATTTAAAGTTTTATGCTTAGCGGTTGCATTACTTTTGTGAGCCACTGTATAATGATTCCTTTTTTTTTGGTAAAGTATCTATTTTTTAATATACTTAATTTAAAGTCTTATTTATTACAACTTACAGTATATAAACTGCAAACAATGTAAATATCTAACCTAATAATACTTAAAGTATAAATCAAAATTATTAAACTTAAATGTTAAGGAATTTAAGGAAGAAAAACTCTGGCTAGGTCAATTAATAAAAGAATTAAGGATAGCAAACAGAAGGACTAAGGTTATTAAGAATAATTTCGTTTAATTCATTAATTACTTTATTGAATCTTTGATAATCTTTTTCATTTTCAATCTTTAAATTCCCTAGATCTGCTTCTAGACTTTTATTTTTAATAATTAATTCTAATGAAGAGATGTAACTGTCATCTACTCACAAATCAATTGATCAATTATTTGATTTTCTTCCATAAGCTTTCTATTATTTTCCTCTTTCTCGCTAATAATCATATCTTTTTCTTCATTATCTTCCTTTAACTTGTTAATAATCATATCGTTTTCTTCATTTGATTGATTTAGAGTATTAATCACTTCCTTCAATACTTCATATTTTTTTTCTAACTCCTTAATTTTCTCGGTTAGAACCCTAATTTTGTTATGTTTCAATTTTTTCAATTTTTTTTTGTCTCGATTTAATTTAATTTTTTTTTTCTTATTTAAATAAGCAACTTTCTTATAAGTTTTTATGCTTCTTTTCTCATCATCTGATTGAGCCTTGAAGTTTTTATTGACATGAGTATCTGAAACGATTATTTTATTTTCACTAAAATTTTCCTCCGATAATTCTTAGATTGCACTGCTAAAGTTACTATCCAAACTAATTAAAGTAGTTCCTTCAAGGCTCATCAGAGAAATTTTGCTTTTTGCAGAAAGACGAGGAGGTAAATTTGAACATGGAGATGTTTGCGTAGATATTACAAACTTTGAATCTGAGCTTAATATTTTAGCTGTCTTAATTTCTTTTGTTTTTTGACCCTCCATAATTCTTATAAAAATAATTTACTATAGTTCAACTATATATTAATTAGCAATAGAGATAGATATTAGCACAAAAACTATAATTAAGTTGCTATATTTTTTCTATATTTTAAATCTTGTGTAAGGAGGGTTAGCAATAATATAATTTTTTTTTCAAATAAAGTTGGCATATGAAGGAACAAGCAAGGAGATTCTCCTCTATAAATAATAAAAATAAAAAGCAAATGAAAATTACTTACTATGGAAATTTGCAATCACGCAATTTTTCTAAAACGTTCTATCTTGAAATCTTATTAACTAAAAAGTCATGACGAATGTCAAGAAATTACACCAATTAGCCCTGCCAACAAAAAGGAAATATTAAATCTTAGCCTTCGGTTAATTTTCTCCAGTTGGATAAACTACTACAAACACAATCACATGAGTGATGCGGAAAAGAGTTGGTAAGATTGATGGTAAATTTATGGAGTGATATGGATCAATTAACTATTGTATTCACTAACCTAACCTACTAGCATTAATGTTATCTTCTTATCCATTTAGAATGAAATTCATATTCAACATCAATTAGACCAAAATACACTACTCATTTGGTCAATCTCCAATTCCTTTTTGTCTTACTGCAAACACACACAAACAAAAACACAAATCACAAACATACACATACAAACAAACACACAAAGTTCAAAATCACAAAATCAAACACGCACACGTCGGAATTATATCCCTATTTCCCTGATTCAGATTCGATGTCGAGTCAGGATTATGACAATTCAATGCAACCCATCGAGTCATAGGAGGTAAAATTCTTTCTTTTTATATGTTACGTGTCAATGATCCAAATAAATTCAAGGAGTTTATTTGTCTTAAATATTCATAAGTACTTTATTAAAGAATTTAATATATTTAGGTTATTATTTTTACATAAATCACAGTTCCAGCAAGATTGATCATTTAAATACAACATATCGTTAGCATCACGCTAACGACATTAAATCTTATAATACAAGTTTAACTGTTATCAAACTTATTTACGTGATTGCGAAGGGCGTAATTATTATTCTTAAAATTCGAGTTATGTAAATATTGACAGGTTCATGTTCTAAACCCAACTCGATTTGGTCCTAACGGGACACTTTAGATACTATTTATGTTAGCAGGAATTAGAAACCTGCATAAGTCCAAATTTTGAAGCTTGGACTTAATTATAATTAATGGCGATGCGAAATTCATCAATTTATTCATTTTATTTTTATTTAACAAATTACAAAAATAAGAAAATGTATTTTTTTTTTCTACAATTTTTTAACAAATTTTTATTACAATAAATAAACAAAAAGATAATGAAGAGCACTATGCAATACAGTTTACAAAAATATGAAATTGATTAACAACAATAAAATATTTTATTATACAATCAGTAGCGGCTAAATTTAATTAAATAATGATTTTGTCAAAATTATAAAAAAATCTGGGCTGGTACATACCTTGAACCAGATCCAGAAATTTCTAAATTTATTATTACCCGGGTCCGGGCCGGGTTCCCACACTGGACCTGACTCGTTGCAGGCTTTTAGCAGGAATTATTAGCATACATATTTATCGGAATAAGCTAATGTCTTAAACTTACTGTGACGCTTTAAAATTTTTAATTTTATCGTTAATATTACTAATAAAATTTCACAAATATTATTGTAATAAATATTCAAAGGATTGTATGTAAGATTTTAGGTGAAACATAAAGGTTTAACAAGTCGTCTAAATAGATGGTATAAGGTTAGACTTTACAAAACTAAATAAAAAAATCTGCAAATTTCAAAAAAAGTAAAAACTATATTAAAACTTATAAAATTGCTAAATTATAAATTATATAAAACCTTAGTAAAAATAAAATAAGTAATGGTATTGCTATTTAATAGGGCTTATTTATCATTTTGATATTTAATTGAATATAATTCAATTTATAAAGACTAGGTAACAGGAACTGTTATATGTCCAGAGCTTTTCAAGTATTTTATTTAACAATTAAAAAAAATGTTGTATTTTATTTTGAAAAAATTATAATAAAATTGCATTAGGTCATGATCACGTGATTCAAACTTTCCACGTTCAAAGAAATATGACATCCTTAACCTATACTGGAGGTGTAGATGTTTAACCTGCGCTAGGGACGTATTATAAGTTTTAACAAATTTTATTGAATGAAAATTGATTGTGTAACATTATATAATTTATACTATCTTTGTAAATAAAATTAATATTGTATTTACGCAACTGCTGCGATGAGAACATAAAATACTTAAATTTCATATAAAAATTCAAAAATTAGAACTTTTTTTTTTTATTACAGTATAATAATTATTTAATCATTATATACATATTCGTCAAAATCTACACTGCTTTTCATAATTTCTCTTGCTTCTTCTAATGATAAATTTCCATTAAAATCTTTGAACTATTAGTCTAATAATTATCTCTGAAACTAATATTTCATGTAAATAATCAATTAGTTTTAAAGGTTTGCTTATTTCAAATGTTAAAATATTTGTTTTTAAAAAC